CAAAATGCTCGTATTTCTTGCATATTTCAGGATTTTCTTAACATTTTTCTCCGGCGTCCTCCTCCCATCTCCACTTTCACACTTGAGTGGAATTGACCTATCAATATAATCCTGACTTTGATGCGGGTTCGCCTGGGTGCATGAGTCGACCAAGATATCTTTACTATACGCATATTTACTACACGTTCACTACTCATGCGTATGCCTTTCACCAATCAGCTTACAAGTTTTTGAGGTATGAATTTCATATGCTTTACTTGACTCACCCGGAGTTCCTTCTTGGATCAGCAAAAGAACCTGAAATTCAACTTTATATTGCATTGTTGTGTTATTCGCTATTTTACAAAAAAAAATGTTCTCATGCCATGAATAATTTGAAGGCGCTGGAGCTAACCCTCCGAAATTACAATATTGGCCATATTTAGTGCTTACGGTGCGGCTATTACACCAGTGTGGCTTTTGTCGCAATCTGACATAGGCTTATGGCTAGCACCGGTTTGTAGTTTTAGGGTTGATGTCCACGAACTTCACTAGCGAAGTATGTAGCTGCCGAGGATCATCTGTGAAGCAGCCATATACTGAAGTGCCTGCGAGAGCATGCTCCGTAAAGACCGGACGTCATATATTGGGAATCGAGCGATTCGCTAGCGAATCGCTGGATCCGAGCGTTGCGCCAACGAATTGAACGTTGCACCAGCGAATCGGCCCATGCGCACCAGCGAGTCGAACGATGTAACCAGCGACTCAATTAGGCCGATGTCAGACTTTGCGAATCGCGCGATTCGCTAGCGTCCGCGGTCGCGTTGCGGTACCAGCCAATTGAGTGATTCACTGGCCGCGACGCGACCGCAGACGCTAGCGAATCGCGCGATTCGCAAAGTCTGACATCGGCCTAAATGTCGGACCCAACGTCCAAAGGAAGCCCGCCACTTTCAAACAGTGTCCACTGTCAAGTCCCGCCACTTTCAAAAAGGTCCACTGTCACGTGACACTGTTCGAAAGTAGCGGCTTCCTTTGAACGTTGGGTCCCGCCACTATTGAGCGGCACTCGTTGCATCGTTCGACTTGCTGGTGCATCGGTCGATTCGCTGGTGCAAATTTTGATTCGCTAGCGCAAGGCTCGGATCTAGCGACTGGCGAGCGAATCGCTTGATTCGCAAACTATGATATCGGCCTAAACGCGTTCTTTCGATAAACTTGCTGTTGGGTCGGAGCATAATGTAGCGCTCGCAAAAAAGTTCAAAGCGAAACCCCAAAGCAAAGCCAAACATAAAAATGATATTGTATTCGTCATTATTTATGACTTTGATTCCACTCCGCAAGAAATTACCCTTGGGATTTAACGATATCAATAGAAATTACAAGGCTTGAACTGAAGAACGTCCTGTTTTCAAGCTGCCTTGTGTAGTTGCTCAAAATATATTAGAGTATTCTATAAAAGGATGGAATGAGATTTCTGACATAAAGAGAGTTCAGGAGACTTGGTATCAGGCGTCGTATGTGATTTTTCGAATTCTGAATACACTACGTGTATACTGGTCACAGCTCTCAGTTCTTATCACAAGATTGCCCTATCTTGATTCCCAACTTCTAAGCACCATATCTCATCACACTCACAAATTTAAGGGAAGGGAGAAACAAGGTACGGAAGAAGTAACTTTCAAATGATACATATATGTGGTTTCCTCGGTAATATTTGTACGTATTCACTGAACTTCTAACGCAAACATAAAAAACGCTACGACATTATGCTCCAACCCAATACATCGTAAAGTTACACTGCCCATTCACACTCACCAGAAACGGGAGGAAACATGGCGCTGATCGACACAGCTTGAATACAGTCTACAGTTTGCTTTTACAGTGGACCTTTATACAGTTACCATGCAGTACAAGATCAAAGAGTGGAACGGTAGCACAGCTACTCTTTTTCGCTTTGTTCCAGCTATGATAAGCGAGAACACCTAAAAAGCCGAACGGGGCAAAGGTTTGTTAGTTATTTCTGAAACGAATTTTTTGTTTAGTTGATAACTGTGAGTTTTCGTTGACAGCTCAACTGAGGAATTCAAAGTGCGTTTAGGTGAAAGTGTAGTGTTCAAATTAATTAAGAAACGCTGCTTTCAGATGGCAGGATCAAAAGCAGACCCGTCGCGATCGGTGCACGTGCCCAAAAGAACGCAATACATCGATTGAAAATGATAACTGTTCGGTTACTGGTGGAAAATTTAGAGGTGCTTAGTAGCACCAGTGAAAGAAATGAGGGGACAGCCCAAAAACCCCTTGAAAAGGCTCTTTCCAATTGGTCCTCGGTCTGCGTCCATCAATGAAGGCACTCTTTCATCCGGTCCAGAAAATTTTGCTTTACGTTTTTGCCTTTTTGCCTAGCTTTCATCGACCTCAAAAACGATTGCCCACTCATCAGAGGAATTGCCCGCGGAAAATTCGTGGGATTCCTACCTTTTTTTTTTCAGTTTTTTGTGGGCCATAATTCGAAGGCTTCGATCCCTGAAGGGAATAGCACGCGTTTTTATGCAAAACCAAATTTTCTCGAGGGAGAGACAATCTTCGGGACGTGTCGCGCGGTAAACGCGGCGGAGGCATGTGAGTGCTCGCATGAAGCTGGGCCGCCGCGGCACTATAGGGCGATGTATCGAAAAATTGGAAATCTTGGCCCCGGGCGGATTCAAACCCGCATCGCTCTCTTACCGAGCATGTGCGCTACAAGTCGATCTACGGCTCTAATTCAGGAGCTCTTCATGACAAGTTTAGCCAAAACACTCATCCACAACTTTATACGCTATGGCCCCTGTTGAACTGCTTTGAGTTTGAAGGCTCAGCAATGGAGAATTGGTTCGATTGTTGTTGGCGCATTTCGCACTTGATGGTTTTACAAATTTTGAGCAATTCACCCAACAATCAAAACGAGTCAAAATCAATTGGTATTTTTGTTTCTCCCGTTCCATCGTGAAGTGTGGCTCTCAAGTGAACGATTTATGGGAGACAGAATAAGAGTTTTTCCGTGATCATATCCTTCAATCTGGGTGGAAGTGGTGCAGTGGCATGTGACACCTGCTTGCCACGCTGCGTCGGAGATCCAATCGCTGGTTGTGGCGTCCCGTCCGGTCAACGTCTTCATTCCGGGTAGGTTAATCTGACTCTCCAGACAGACTTATCTGGGAGGACAAAACACTGACTTGTACAAACTTGTAACAGTGATCGGCTGGCCCCCGCAAGTCATTGTATAGGCCACATCGCATTCAAATGCCACTACGAATGTACAAATGGAAGTAGAATGCGTGCCGCATCCCAAAAAGGGATTGATCAACGGCAAATGCTTTATCCTTGCTTTATCACTTAATCTAATAAATGATTTGTTGCCAAGCAATTAGACGAAAACGTTTATTCAAGGTTCTCTAAGTCGTGGTGCAGTTTGATTTTTGATCTTCACAATACCTGAATGAATGCTAAATGCACAGGAGACTAAACCTTTGGAAGGAAGATTAATTCTTCCAGGCTCAAATACCAGACGTACTTTAAACATCAGCTGATTCCGTGTATTATCAGAGACATGAGCCGTATCAAGTACATATTTACTATCTGGAAGCCAATACCAAAAACATTTGTAAAGCAATGAAGATAACGTTTTACTTTACTTTGATAGGACGACGCTTCATGTAAATATACGAGGTCTGCTGTTCGATGATAGGCTTCTGTCAGGATCCCAAATTTAAAGGCAGCGATTACGATAAAGAGGAGCGCATCGGGGAAGCATATGCACCACACGAATCAGTTACTTGGCTGCCAGGAAGCGAGGTGTGGCGCTTTCACGACGAAAGGTGCGCTGGTTGCTGAGCAGGACTTCGAAAGCACTCCGCCCCCAAAAGCGATCCGCCCACTAGTTTAGTTGGTGATTTGGACGAGCTGCGTTGCCAGCAGCGGCACAACTGGAGCAACTCGATGGAGCATGGTTTGGCATGCTGCCACCAAACGCGTTGCGGTGAACTCGTTCATACGTCCGCTTTCTGAGCTGTTACCTGTTCATGAGTGAAAACCAACGGCCAAAAAAGGGGTCCCGTTTTGCGTTTTCTTGACGGATTTCTCCGCTTTTTTCGCCACTGGCGTACCATTGAGCACCTCCAGTCTCTTATAAACCTTTCTTGCACCTCTCGTAATCGCTGCCTTTAAGATGAATTCTCTCACAAGCTCGATATTCAGGGCAGGCCAACGGAGGTACCACCAGTGTATTCGGGCTAAGATTAGCTAAATAACGTACAGCATTACGGTGTCTTAGAAATTTCGTGGTAAAGGCACGATCACTAATAATCAGGCCATAGTAAACAGTGTCGTGGATTAGATGAAACTGGAAAGCATACGGCCTCCCGTATGATGATCCTTTCTACCTTCATCACGGCTCTCACTCAACGACGGCTCGAAGCAGGCGGATGATGCCCATGCCTTCAGGGCCACTCATTGTGTATTTCCACTCTTGACCCCAAAGGGGTCACGGTATATCTGAAGATATTCCTGGACCAATAACCTTTTTGCTGAGCATGGGTGATGTGAAGGACCATAGTTCGGGGTCATGTGGGGCGCCGCACCGTTGAAGTGGACCCCTTCAATCTCCACCATGAACGGATTAGTATCGGCATTCCATAAAACGCTAACGCAGGAAGTCTTTAGGAGGCTAAAGGCGATTTTTAAGCCGTTTTTTGCTCCTCTCCCGTACCTACATGCCCTCTTTTCTAGCGGTTCCTGGGATTGCGCAGGAACGAAAAGCGCAACACTTCTCCGTAAAAGTGAAACTTTTACATTTTTGGTACTTACAAGAGCATTTGCAGCTGTTCATGTATTGCTCATTGATTCATTCATATTCATGGATCGTTTGGAAAGACGTTCTTTGACTTCCGTACTGCTGCTCTACGTCGCTATGTGGATGATGTTTAGTCGAGAACAGCATTACGTCAGACGTTCATGAAGCCGAATCAGCACACGAGAACATCATGCTGACTGTCATGGATCCTGAACAAGACGGTTTCCTGTCATTTTTGAACTCCAGTGAAACTGTCACAAAGCTAAGTGTTTCAACGTGACACAAAAAGAGCGCTTCGAAGAATATTTTAATACAATTCAGAAGCTGCCACCCTCTTTTCATGTAGAGGAAGGTAGTTAAACACTTCAGCAACACATCCAGATGGATGTCGACAAATGTTTCCGGAGTTGTGAACAAGGTGACGCGTATTCTTTTCGAGAACGTATACGGATTCAGACGAGTGAATTGTCAGCGCCCGTTCCAAAAGCTGGAGGGGCGCCTCAGCGATGCTACCGTACCTCTCCGAAGCAGGGTGAATATCGCTTGAGGATTCCTCAACGGCACGTCGAGGATTCTCTGCCCGATCAGACACGATCTCTCGCGCGGACATTCACACTCGCCATGCGCGTGCCGTCTGTGCTCTCCGCGCGGATGTTCACTCTCGGCACTACTCTCGCATGGTAGAGAGCTATGGTCGAGGAATTCCTCGACCGTTATTCACCCTGTCCGAATCATTCCCTAAGGATGTAAAACGTGTGATCAAGAGGTCTGGGATGCCAATTCGCTTGATATTCCGACCGCCGCCAACACTGCACCGTCTGCTCACTTCGTCTCGACTGTATGAAGAACAGTGGGGCCGCATAAACTGCACATACTGTCAACCGGAGCGGAAAATAACCCTTCGAAAGCACTGCTCACGTAGTGGTGTGTACGCAGTGCTCGTAGTTTCATGTTGGAGAAAGTGGACGCTCCTTCTACAGAAGGCTCGAGGAATATCTAAGCCGGGAAACCTTCTTCACAACACCATTCCTTGCTCATCGTGAACGTGCCTCCGCAATCAAGGTCTGCGCAATATATGTATAAGAATGAGCGATCAGGTGGAAAGGAAAATAAAAGAAGCACTCGAAATTCGGAAGCGCAACCCTCTGAATAACAGATACGAAGTGCTACGTGATGGATGGTAGCTTGCAGAGTACAGAATGCTGTTAACTTCACTATGATAGCCCTCCATCTGGCCGTTATGTATCGTTCCGTACGAGTAGCAATAGAGGCTGATCCCCTCCACGTACCCCTTCACATCTCTATTGCATAACTCTTGAAGCGATCCACAATCTCATTGGAGTTGATCCACTTCCCTCAACCCGGATTTCTCCCTTTTTCTGTAAGTGATTTTACCTTATGCATTCGTATATCATGTTGTATATGATTCACTCTTTTATGTTAGAACGTAATGTATGGATGATGTTATAGACCTGAAGAAGGGCTTACGGCCCGAAACGTCGTCAAATAAAGCCTTTTTGGAAGAGTTTCATTTCCATCCACCACTAAGAAGCATGGGATAGTTACGTATTGAAAGGTTTCTGATCAGTGAATGCGTCTAGGCGTATATATGAGCGCAAGAAATGGAAACCAGAAACCACAAGCCATTGTTTTACTTGATTATTGGTATTCTCAAAGCTGCTCGAAGAATATCATACCCAGTCTAATGCTCACGCACGTGCCCCAGTAAAGGGCAAAGAAGCGCAGAAGCG